GGGACGTCTCGGGGGGGCGGCTGGGCTGTTCCGCCGCTCTGAGGTTAAAGACAAAGAAGCCTTCCGATCCATGATGGTTCTGTTCGCGAGGAACAGGAAGCACGGCAATGTCGTGGAGGTGTTGGATCGGATGAGAGCCGGAGGGCATCTGCCCGACTCGGACATGATCGCCATGGCTCTGAATGCTTATGGGAAGCTGCAGGAGTTCGAAAAGGCGGAAGCTTTGTACAGTGAAATGGAAGGGGAGGGATTTGTGTTGGCCGATATGGTGCATTTTCAGATGCTGAGCTTGTTGGGGATGAAGAGGGATTTCAGGAGAGTGGAAGAATTGGTTGAAAAGCTTAGGTCTTGTGGGGATGTTGATGTGAAAGAGCTATGCGTTGCGGCGGCGAATGTGTACGAGAGAGCTAACAGGCTCGACGACGCTGCTCGGATTGTTGCAAGGATGAACAAGAGAAGCTCTGCTGTGGCGAATGTGCGTTAGAGGTCTGTTTGGGCTAGCTGCAGCTTAGCTGCTCATAAAGTTGTTGTGGGGAAGCTGGTTAGCTGTTTATTTTTTACGGTTTGAAAACAACGGTGCGGTAGTTGTTTCTGGACAAATGACCATTCTGATATTGTTTAGTGATAATATTTGTAACATAATTATTCTAGTCATATATTTGATACTTCAGAAGTAAAAATTTACTTTAGAACTGTACAAAAATCCAGATAAACAACTCACTTAACAACGAGTATCAAGTATGCTAAAAAAAGAAATAAACTATCAACACTATAATTAGTAATATGACAATATTGATTTTATAATGCAGATGACGTATGCCACAAGTTACATCGTCATGAGCTACAACCAGCTACAAACACGCCGCTGGCCAACCGCCACCCCAAAGAGGGCTACAATAACAAAGCAAATTTACATATAACAAAGCAAATTTACATACATAACACTCAAAATTTTAGTATGTATATATTCAATATCTAAATTTTTATATTTACATTGTAGATTATTTTGTTATCAATTCTTAATGGATCTCACCGTACATTTGCAAGTCGCAAATAGGTGGGAAAGTGGATGGAGGAGCTTTCAGATTGGTAAAATAGGATGTGGCAAAGAACGAACATGATTGGTATGTAGTTTAGGTTTACTCATATATAATTTATTTTAATTATATGAAATTTTAAATTAGGGTTAGAAATAATGGAGTTGAGCTCGGCTCATTCTCGTCTCGAGCCCGTGCTTAATTAATTAATAGAGCTTGGAATTTAGCTCGAGCATAATTCTATTAGTTCGAGTCTACTTCTGAGTTATTTGTTCGTAATGAGAGAGCAAATAATATTAGCCCGAGCTAATGTTCAAACGAAATGACATTTGATACAACTAGAGTGTAGTTTGTTTAGCAAATGGATGAGTAAGATCAATAAAGCACACAAGGAAAATATATATATATATATAGATTATTGAATGTTGCATAATGATCATTATGGGAAGGTTGTGCCCCTTATTATGAGTTATCATCAGTTGTTCTTAGAATATTGTGCATTAAATCAGACTGTAATATACCTCAAAATATATTAACTAAGTAGCATGATTATTGAAGGAGATAAATTTAAAATAAATGTGTCTGTGTGTGTGTGTCTATATATATATACTATCACGGGTGTCAATATTTTGGTT